CTGCTGGACAACGAATGTTTTCTCATCCGATAAAACCAGTTCACCACTTTGGCCCAGCGAAGCATCTCTTCAGCTCTTTTGAGTCAATTTTCTTTCTGTTCCGGTGTAAGTTCTTGTACTTTTTGGAATTTCAATGGATTTACACCGATCTCATTTGTCAATATTGCCAAATTGAATATTGCGATATGTTCAGCTCACGAGCCATTTTTCGGCCACTGCAACGCGAGTTTCGATCAAGTCGCTTCTTTACTTTTCGAACCATTCTGCTGATGTTGCTGTTTTCTTCCGTCCACTTCCTTGACGTCGGGCTACGCTACCAGTATCACGGTAACGAGCAATGGTACGAGACACGAAAGATTTATATTTAAATGGTGGAGAGCTCTAACGATAGCCACTTGTGGTTCCAGCCAAATATAAAGAAAGCACACTATCACGCTTGAATTCCATCACGAATAACTTTTTTTTCTAGAAAATTCTCACCAAAATGCCTTGGTACGCTTTTAAACAATATAATGGGCTGTCACTGGAATAATTTTAACAGCTGTCGGACGAGTAGCTTAGAAATGACAGCAGTCTAAAATTGGTTGCAGTTTTTTTCATCTCACCCTGTAGATATTCATTGCATAGACGACCCTAATTAAAGATTGTGCCAGCCAATATCAAATCACATACACACACGCTATTTATAGCAATTTTAAAATTATCTTTTAATGTAATATTAAATATAGCTAATAACGAAAAAAACAATTCCTATACAGGTCACGTTCATCTGCAGATTTTTACCATTATTATCGGGCACATCGTCGTCCCATTTTTTTCGCAATAACACAATTTTAAATAGCTCACACACGCACATAAATATTATAAATCACCGGTGACTTATAATGAAAATTAATTAAATTCATTAAAGTTCGATTCACATAAATATTCGTGCCACATTTAACCTGTAATTTTCTTTTCAACTGACGCTGTTGCTGCAACGGCATGTCGTACTACTCTACTCCACATACATGCATTCAGACATATAATAAGTACCTTAGGGACCTTCTTCATCTTGTTGTGGAAGATCTCTCGGTGGTACTGGTGTGTGAGTTTTCTTTTTATTTATTAAATAAATCATTTCAACACCAGATGCTTATTTTTTCTTCACGAATGCCTAAGTTAAGAAACAGTTGCAAGTTGGCGGCATTTGTTGAATTGATTCATTGAAGTTGCCACTTGCAATTGGCCAATTTAAGTTGAAATGTTTCAAGGGATGTATCTGCTGGAGAGCGTGTGGCAGGAATTTTTTGGCACAGTGGAAGTTTTTTTTTTTTAAATTTTAGTAAGGAATAAAATATAGCAAAGATCACAGAAATTATTGGGTAATTTTAGAAACATTCTTTAATGAATTCGAATTGATCGATTGTCTGGCTTCGGAGTCTAAAATTTCTTTTCAGTTATGCTGGACATCAATCACTGTGAAGGGCTTCCATCCAAGGAAAGCAACATCTTTAGTTCCTAAAATTTTCGTTTTAAAGGAGAAAGCAATTCAGTTATTCAAATTTCGTAGAGATCTGTTTAAATACAGGGTGAGATGAGAAACTGCAACCAACTTCAGACTGCTGTGATTTCTAAGCCACTAGTCCGATTGCTGTTAAAATTATTCCAGTGACAGCCCATTATATTGTTTACAAGCGTACAAAAGCATTTTGGTGAGAATTTTCCAGAAAAAAGTTATTCGTGATGGAATTCAAGCGTGATAGTGTGCTTTCTTTATATTTGGCTGGAAAACCACAAGTGGCTATCGTTAGAGAACTCCATCATTTAAATGTGAACAAATCGTTTGTGTCTCGTACCATCGCTCGTTACCGTGATACTGGAAACAGCGACATTAAGGAAGCGGACGGAAGAAAACAGCAACATCAGCAGAAATGGTTCGAAAAGTGAAGAAGCGACTTGATCGAAACCCTCGCAGTGGCCGAAAATTGCTCATGAGCTAAACATATCGCAATATACCATTCGGCAAATATTGAAAAATGAGCTCGGGGTAAAGACATTAAAATTCCAAAAAGTGCCAAGACTTACACCGCAACTGAAAGAAAACGAGCTAAAGAGTTGCTTCGCTTGGCCAAAAGTGGTGAACTGCCGAATTTGGTTTTCTCCGATCAGAAAACATTCGTTGTCCAGCAGTTTGTACGCAAACAAAATTATAGTGTTTACTTGCCACAGAGGCCAACTGAAGGCCACCAGAACTCAAGCGCCGGTCATGGTGATAATGTTGGCCGCCATAACAGACGATGGTCGCTCTCCGCTCGAATTAATCGATCGTGGCATCAAAATAAATGCCGAATATTATCGCGAAATATTATTAAAGCCTTAGGCACGCAAACTTTTTGGCCGCAGGTCTTGGACATTCCAACAGGACTCAGCACCATGTCACACAGCACGAGCCATCCAAGAATGGTTACAAAATGAGGTTCCTTATTTTATTTCCAGCGCACAATGGCCACCAAAATCTCCGGATACCATACCGTTGGACTATTGTGTCTGGAGTATTTTGGAAAGCAAGGTTGGCACTAAAAAATACCAAAGTGTCGATCACCTCAAGCAAGCGCTTCGCCGGGAATGGGACAAAATACCGCAGAGCAACATTCGGACAGCGTGTCATTGGCAGTTTGAAGGCCATAATTCGTGTCAAATGTGACCAATTCGAACAAATCTAAACTTATACTAAAATTTGATGCTATTTCCGACATTTTTGCTTTCATTCAATAAAATTAAAAAAAAGTAAAAATTATGGCTTTTGACTTTGTTGCAGTTTTTTTTTTATCTCACCCTGTATTTGTTAAGAAATGGAAATTTATTTATTCAAAAATATTTCTTTTTTTGCCAACTCTATCCCACTGTTCATTACGGCTAAGAAAATGCGTTTGCTAAATTACCCTAGCTGAAAACGTGTCGGTGCACATTTTGCAAAAAAAATTGTTGAAATCTTTGGAGATCTTATCCAGAGAACCTTTTCCCGTCCCCTGCACATGGAGTCAACATATTTCCACCATATGGCATATGCTTATGTGCAACTGGGATTTTTTTTTTTTTTGCAACTTGTTTGTTATTTCTGTTCTTTATTGCAATGGGAACTAGAGCTTACATTTTTTAATAAGCTGTTTTTATGTATATTATTGTTGTTGCTGCTGGAGTCTGTTATAACTTCCATTGCACACACACAGAGGTTAAATAATAAACAGCTTTTAAAAATGTATTTTATTATTTCATTTCATGTCTTGAGGGGTTGATTTTATTGACTACAGTACAGATATAAATGTCTGCTGGCAATAAATAGGCCATCCGTTTGGTCCTAGTTAAATGGGTGCGCTCTTGGTTTCGAAAACCAAGATGTTTTATTATTTTCTTGCAACAATGTTGCAAAAGTCCTACAATTACTGTCTGGCGAGAAAGTCAGGGTTATTACAGTCAGTATATTTGGCTATAATTTGTAGGTGTGTCATAAGTCAAACTATGATCAGTGATATTCATAATTTATGAAGCTGTAGATGAATGGTTTATTTAAAGGAGGGTAACGTAATATAATCAAAATGAATCAGAAGCTAAATTATGAATACAGGGTGAGATAAAAAACTTCAGCAAAGTCAAACTCCATAATTATTAATTTTATTGAATGAAGGCAAAAAATGTCGGAAATAGCATCAAATTTTAGAATAAATTTATATTTGTTCGAATGGGTCACCTTTGGCACGAATTATGACCTTCAAACGGCCAATGAAACCGTCACATGCTGCCCGAATGTTGCCCTACGGTATTTTGGCCCATTCCAGGCGAAGCGCTTGCTTTAGGTGATCGACATTTGGTATTTTTTAGCGCAACCTTGCTTTCTAAAATACTCCAGCCACAATAGTTCAACGGATTGGTATACGGAGATTTTGGTGGCCATTGTGAGCTGGAAATGAAGCGAGGAACCTCATTTTGTAACTTTCTTGGGTGTCGCGTGCTGAGTTCGATAATATTCGGCATTTATTCTGATGCCACGGTCGATAAATACGGGCGGAGAGCGACCATCGGCAGTTATGGTGGCCCACACCCTCACCATGGCCGGCGCTTGAGTTCTAGTGGCCAACCGAAGGTGCACATTTTCAACTGACCTCTTTGGCAAGTGAACACGATAATTTTGTTTGTTTACAAACTGCTGGACAACGAATGTTTTCTCATCGGAGCAAACCAAATTCGGTAGTTCACCATTTTCGGCCAAGCGAAGCAACTCTTTAGCTCCTTTGAGTCTATTTTCTTTCTGTTGTGGTGTAAGTTTTTGCACTTTTTGGAATTTCAATGGCTTTACCCCGAGCTAATTTTTCAATATTTGCCGAATGGAATATTGTGATATGTTCAGCTCACGAGCCATTTTTCGGCCACTGCGACGGGGGTTTCGATCTAGTCGCTTCTTTACTTTTCGAACCATTCCTGTTGATATTGCTGTTTTCTTCCCTCCACTTTCTTGACGCCGGGCTACGCTACCCATATCGCGGTAACGAGCGATGGTACGAGACACAAAATATGTATTCACATTTAAATGCTGGAGTGCTCTAACGATAGCCACTTGTGGTTTTCCAGCCAAATATAAAGAAATCACACTATCACGCTTGAATTCCATCACGAATAACTTTTTTTCTTTAAAATTCTCACCGAAATGCTTTTGTTCCCTTGTAAACAATATAATGAGCTGTTACTAGAATAATTTTGACAGCTGTCTTAGTGTCTTAGAAATGACAGCAGAGTGAAGTTGGTTGCAGTTTTTTCACCCTGTCATTAATTGTACATCTCGAATCCATTACATTTACTTGTGCTGAACTATTTGTTCCCTGATCATATCGACTATTAAAACAGGCCAAATCAATACATAGTTATCCCTTTAAATGACAATAATTATAGTAACACAACATTCAAACATGTTCTCTAACACCAATTTAATGTTTCTTCTTCTCCCATCTTCTACCTCATTACAGATCGGCCAACTATTATCGTGCCACAAATATTTGTGAATTATCTGAAATGGATCGTATTACATTGGCTGGCACCAGTGCATTCCAAAGTCAAGATGGCATCGATTATCTGGAGAACAATTGTGCCGAAGAACCAAATAAATTATGCGAATTCAAGCGTTTATCGGGCAGAATATTGAAAACGGTCGATTCCGTATATCAGGATGTTGGCAGCATTGATGAGTGCCGTGATTTATGTATAAATTCGCCATACAGGTAAGTGGTGTTGTGTGTAAGACAAGACAAAAGAGAAGAGAACAGTAGAAGCGAAAAACGCCAACACAAAAGTGATGCAATGGAGGACGAACTTTAAACGGCAAAGATAATGATGACACTGGCAAGCAGGCTGATCATGGTCAAAGTATTTTCATGACATTGCCAATGTTTGATGTGCTCATCGACGACAGTGATGTGGAGGTTGTAACATAGTAAAAACCATCGCAAAACAGAACGCATTTAATGTGATTAGAAGCAATATTAGGCGATATCGTTAATATGGTGCTCGGTGATTTTCAATGGCTAAGAGTAGAATAAGCCAAGTCAAGTAGCAGTGAAAAACTTTAATGCAACAAGTGCCTAGTTGCAGCACTTGGTTCGAACAGCTTTTTGAGAACAGGTTGATTCAGCAGTAAGTTAGTTACAGGTCTAAGTTATGACCCAGCTCTATTAGTTTCTTAGCCACAAATATATTATGACCAAATTGTTGCAAGGTTATTTATGATCATCTTTTCTATGGCCAACCGGCCCACCACGCACAAACAGGCTGCAGTTGCACAAAAAAAAAAACGAAACCACTCTCCACCATCTACGTTTAATGTTTTGGGAGACTCGTGATGCTCATAAAATTTATTATGCTCTAAGGTGTTCTCATTTTTTATGAGCTAAAAACGGCGATGATTTTCGGAAAATCTAAATTTATGATACAAACATTGAAAAACGCTAAATTCTTTCATTCGATCAAAGATTAATGCGAACTTGTTTTATGGCTTAACGGAATTGACGGGATATACATGATATGCTATAAGGAAACAACCGAAGAAGAAATGGAGAGACGACCTAGGGGTTTGAGTTGTAATGTGAGCTTTCATGTTTTGGCAAAATTTAGCAAAGGCTTGAGTGATTCATAAATTGCGATAATATGAGTTGTAAAAATTCAGTGAAGAATAAAAGTATGCAAAGGATTACTAAGGACAAGCAAAGAAAAGTCTCTGTAGATGAGCTAAATGAAGACGAGTTGAAGTGAATCTTTGTAGACGATTTGAACTGATTCTTTATAGACGATTTTAAGCCTAGACTCGAGTCGATATAGACGAGTTGAAGGGAGTCGATAAAGGGAAGCTAGTTAAAGCGAGACGAGTTGAAGGGAGGCGAGTTGAAGGCGGGCTGAGTTGAAGGTGTCGGTATAGACGAGTTGAAGGGAGTCGATATAGACGATTTGAAGAAAGTCGATATAGAGTTTAAGGGAGTCGATATAGACGAATAAAAGGGAGTCGATATAGACGAGTTAAAGGGGGTCGATATAGACGAGTTAAAGGGAATCTCTATAGACGAGTTGAAGGGAATCGATATAGACGTGTTGAAGGGAATCGATATAGACGAGTTGAAGGGAGCCAATATAGACGAGTTAAAGGGAATCGATATAGACGAGTTGAAGGGAGTCGACAAAGGGAAGCGAGTTAAAGGGAAGCGAGTTAAAGCGAGACGAGTTGAAGGGAGGCGAGTTGAAGGGGGGCTAGTTGAAGGGAGTCGATATAGACGAGTTGAAAGGAGTCGGTATAGACGAGTTGAAGGGGGTCGATATAGACGAGTAAAAGGGAGTCGATATAGACGAGTTAAAGGGGGTCGATATAGACGAGTTAAAGGGAATTTCTATAGACGAGTTGAAGGGAATCGATATAGACGTGTTGAAGGGAATCGATATAGACGAGTTGAAGGGAGCCAATATAGACGAGTTAAAGGGAATCTCTATAGACGAGTTGAAGGGAATCGATATAGACGAGTTGAAGGGAGTCGACAAAGGGAAGCGAGTTAAAGCGAGACGAGTTGAAGGGAGGCGAGTTGAAGGGGGGCTAGTTGAAGGGAGTCGATATAGACGAGTTGAAGGGAGTCGGTATAGACGAGTTGAAGGGAGTCGATATAGACGAGTTGAAGAGAATCGATATAGACGAGTTAAAGGGAGTCGATATAGACGAGTTAAAGGGAGTCGATATAGACGAGTTAAAGGGAATCTCTATAGACGAGTTGAAGGGTGTCGATATAGACGAATTGAAGGGAATCGATATAGACGTGTTGAAGGGAATCGATATAGACGAGTTGAAGGGAGTCGACGTAGACGAGTTGAAGGGAGCCAATATAGACGAGTTGAAGGGAGTCTTTATAGACGAAGTTGTTGGTAAACTAGAAGGGACGAGTCTTTCCAGGCACATGAAAATCAGCTTATTATATATCAAAATCGTCATAAATGACTAGAGATATTTACAGGCGTCTGACAGTTTCTCGACTTTTTTATAACGCTGACTAATTTTGCATTGCCCGAACATTTACTTTAATTTCTCTCTCCCGTCAGATGCCACTCCTATGATTTTGGTGATACCGGTGATATGGTCTGCCGTTTGTCCCATCACAGCCGTGCCACATTATCCGATGTACAAGATCCCTATTTGGAAGTACCCGAAGCTGCCACCTATGAATTGTCGTCTTGCTACAATGTAACGATTGAATGTGGAGCTGGTGATATGGTTGCCCGTATACGCACTTCAAAATTATTCGATGGCAAGGTGTATGCCAAGGGATCGCCCAAATCCTGCTCGGTCGATGTTAAAAACTCTTTGGAATTTGAATTGAAAATGGGTTATCAAGATTTGGAATGCAACGTGCGTCAACAAGGATCCGGCCGGTATATGAATGATGTGGTCATTCAACATCATGACACAATTGTTACATCTTCAGATTTGGGATTGGCCGTGACATGTCAGTATGATTTGACCAATAAATCGGTGTCAAATGAAGTTGATTTGGGTGTTAAGGGTGACATTGAACCGGCCCTGTCCGAAGAGGTTATTGTTGATTCACCTAATGTAATTATGAAGATTACCGCCCGTGATGGTTCGGATGTTATGCGTTCCGCCGAAGTGGGTGATCCTTTGGCACTGAAATTCGAAATTTTGGATGAATCGAGTCCTTATGAAATCTTTGTTCGTGAATTGGTTGCCATGGATGGTGGTGATAATGCTGAGATTACCTTGATCGATTCGAATGGTTGCCCCACAGATCATTTCATTATGGGACCCATTTACAAGAGCAGTTTGTCGGGCAAGATTTTGTTGTCACATTTCGATGCTTTCAAATTCCCATCATCGGAGGTGGTGCAGTTCCGCGCCTTGGTAACACCCTGTATGCCCACATGTGAACCTGTCCAGTGTGACCAGGAAGATATTAGTGGTGAATTTAAATCCCTGCTGTCCTATGGTCGGAGACGTCGTTCAGTTAATGTCACAGGTGAGTATCAGGAGGGTGATCAATATTCACATATTTCCCTATCAATTTCCTTGTGATTCCCCTTGTCCAAATTGTCACCATTTTGCTTATCACATAGCAACATGACTTTATCAATAGTATCTTTCTTGCCTCATCAACTGCCTAATGATAACATTTTATCGCTTCATTTGGAGCTTCTTCACTTAGCCTTTACTTTTTGTTTAGCCCCATACTTTTTGTTTGTTAATTTATATATATTTTTTGCCTTTTTCTTCCCTTCCAGCTTCCTTTGGTGGTAATCATCTTAGACAACGTCGTGAAACTACCAAGAAACCTAGTCAAGAAGATTTGCTTTTGGTGCAATCAATTCAGATCACTGACAAATTTGGCTTCGATAAACAACAACAATCGAAATCTAACAGCAACCACATGGGCTACGATGCCAATGAGACTGTCTTCATTTCCAGCGAAGCAGCATCTCAAGGATTCTGTGTTAATGCCATTGGTGAGTGTTTTTCTTACTTAGATAATGATAAATACAGTGACCGGATATGATATTATGGAACACAGCTACCATAATATATCATGCAAGTCAGAATTTTAACAGAGAAGCCATAGAAAAGATATACCATTTTTACAAGCTATGTGAGAGAGAAAACGAACGAAAGAGAGAGTCGCTATCACTCTCGAGAGAGTGAAATTGAGCGAAAGAGAAAGATAGTGAAAGTTAGCGAGAGAGAAAGAGAAGGCGAGCGAGAGGGAGGATTTCAAAGGATTGCTTATAAAAGACCTCCATGGAGTATTTATAGACAGGTCGCAAGTCTTCGGAAGGTAACCCCATAGACGCCCTGAAAGGAGTCCCCATAGACGAGCTGGAGAGACCACCCAAAGACGAAGTTAAGATTATTTATAGACGAACCCAAGCGATTCTTTGAAGAAGGGGGTATCCTTGGATCAGCTAAGGAGACTCTATATAGACGAGCTGAAGGTAGTCTCTCTAAACTTGGTCAAGGGAGTTTCTATCTACGAGCTGAACAAAGTTTCTATCGACGAGCTGAAAGGAGTTTCTATAAACGAGCTGAAAGGAGTCTTCATAAACCCGCTTAAGTAGTTTCCATCGGCGAACTGGAGAGAGTCTTCATACGACTAGATGAATATATACTCCATAGACGACCTGAATGGATTTTATACAGACGAGCTGAGGGGATTCCATATAAACGAGATAAGGAAATAACTCTGCTCAAGGAAATCGTTATAGATAAACCTAAGGGATTCCTCTTCCTAAAGCGAGTCTTTATGGAAGAGCTGTGTACAGTCTTTATGGACGAGCTAAAGGGAGTCTTTATGGACAAGCTGAAGGGAGTCTTTATGGACGAGCTGAAGGGAGTCCTTATGAACGAGCTGAAGGAAGTCTATATGGAAGAGCTGAAGGGAAGATAGTGCCAAGAGCTTAAGGGTTACTCCATGGCGGAGCATAAGAGTTTTTCCCTAGGAAGGAAATCTCAATAGACAAGACGGAAGGGAGTCCTCACACATGAGCGGAAGGAAATCTCCATATACGAACTGAAGGAAGTTTCCATAGACGCGCCGAATGGAGTCTCCTCCATAAACGAGCTTGAGAAAGTCTCAATAGACGTGATGAAGATAATCTTTAAAGACGAGCGTAAGGGAACACAAGCTAGGTGTGGTATCTACAAACGAGCTAAGTGCAGTCTATCTAAATGAACTTATGGTGCTGAGAAGAGACTTTTTAAACAAGTAGGGGGTTTAAGGGGTTTAAAGTAACAAGAGCTCTTTTTTATTGTCGAAAAAAGGAGCTACTTGCGTTCTAATTCTAGTGCCATGTACTGTTTTGGCAACAACCTTGTGTCAATAAATCGGCTAAATAATGGCTAAAATCAAATACAAATGCCAGGTGAAAAACTGAAGAAGAAAAGGACTCAATACAAAATTCAATGAAACTCGAACTACGTCAGAAAGGTTAACTTCAGCCAACCCCAAGATGGAATCGTCTTTCTCATCAACGAATCACCTGAAATGAAATTAGAAAAAAAAGCAACGATCATCGTCAGATTCATCATCATCCTCATCATGGACACTGAGAATGATGATAAAACTGGTGACGATGATCAGCATGTTCAAACAATGTTGTGGTTCTGCTCTTGGTCTTTATACTTTGTTTTTGATTAAACGTGGCCAGACGATTAAGGCTGCTGTTGTTTAGTGGAGTTTTGGGACAAAGCCAAACAAAGTAAATGGTGAAATTGTACATGCCAAAGGCTATTGCAGCTCTATCGAAGAAGTAAGGCAAGCGTAGGAATCCAATTGCTGACGGTAAGATATGGGAAATCTTGGGATTAGCCCTATTAGATTTTCTATGTCTGTTGTGGTCTCGATCACATACAGATCATTGCTGTTGTTGCAACTTTGCTATTACATAACACACACACCGGAGAGACAGAGAGAAAGGTGTGCAATCAGGCGTTAAGCTTTGACGTAATTGTTTTTGTTATAATTTAAGTGTACATTTGATCTATGATTGTTGCAAGATTTAATGACTTCAAAGGAGCCACCATTACCGGGAGGACGGCAAAACGGGAAATACTCGTACTTGTAGACTAAGGAGTACAATTGCAAGGAAATCTATTTCTTTGAAAAAAAAACTTTGAGCAATGAAACAGTGTAGTCATCCAGGAAAACAGGCAAAACAAGAACACAGGTTGATTTTCCAACTGCGATTGCAATCATCATCATCATCGTTGTCATGAAGGACAAGTGTTGTTCTGTTTCCATTTGCTTTGCTCTTCGAGTGAAACTTCCTCAAAATGCTGGAAGGTTGTGGGGTCTTAACACCCATGAAAATTTATGTGAGAATATCTAAGATTGATTTAATTTGCCATTGATTTTGCTGGGTGGGTGGAAAGACAAAGTGGAAAAACGGCAGCGCCTAATGGAGCTCTATTGGTATTGAATTATGTTGCTGCGCCCCCGGGGCGACTTTTTGTAATTTTTTCATAACGGGATTTCTTTTCAATTAAATCAAATAGAATGCCTTTAATTGCAGAAATGAAGAAAGTCTTTACAGACGGGCTGAAGGGTGAGATAAAAAAAACTGCAACAAAGTCAAATGCCATAATTTTTACATTTTTTTAAATTTTATTGAATGAAAGCAAAAAGTGTCGGAAATAGCATCAAATTTTAGAATAAGTTTATATTTGTTCGAATTGGTCACCTTTGGCACGAATTATGACCTTCACACGGCCAATGAAACCGTCACACGCTGCCCGAATGTTGCTCTGCGGTATTTTAGCCAATTCCCGGCAAAGCTAGAAATGATCTACACTTTGGTATTTTTTAGTGCCAACCTTGCTTTCCAAAACACTCCAAACACAATAGTCCAACTGATTGGTATCCGGAGATTTTAGTAGCCATTGTGCGCTGGAAATGAAACGAGGAACCTCATTTTGTAATCATTCATCAAGACTTTAAAACACCCTCCAGAATATTTTCGCGATAATATTCGACATTTATTCTGATGCCACGGTCGATTAATACGAGCGGAGAGCGACCATCGGCTGTTATGGTGATCCACACCATCACCATGGCTGGCGCTTGAGTTTTGGTGGACAACCGAAGGGGCACATTTTCAGCTGACCTCTTTGGCAAGTAAACACGATCACTTCGTTTGTTTACAAACTGCTAGACAACGAATGTCGAATCATCGGAGAAAATCAAATTCGCCAGTTCACCACTTTCGCAAGCAATTCTTTAGCTCTTTTGAGTCTATTTTCTTTCTGTTGCGGTGTAAGTTCTTGCACTTTTTGGAATTTCAATGGCTTTACCCCGATCTCATTTTTCAATTTTTGCCGAATGGAATATTGCGATATGTTCAGCTCGATCAAGTCGCTTCTTTATTTTCGAACCATTTCTGCTGATGTTGCAGTTTTCTTCCGTCCACTTCCTTGATGTGGGGCTACGCTACCAGTATCACGGTAACGAACGATGGTACGAGACACAAAAGATTTATTCACATTTAAATGCTGTAGTGTTCTAGCGATAGCCAATTGTGGTTTTCCAACCAGATGTAAAGAAATCACACTATCACGCTTGAATTCCATCACGAATAACTTTTTTTCTGGAAAATTCTCACCAAAAAACTTTTGTACGCTTGTAAACAATATAATGAGCTGTCACTGGAATAATTTTAACAGCAGTCGGACGAGTGGCTTACAAATGACAGCAATCTGAAGTTGGTTGCAGTTTTTTCATCTCACCCTGTATATTTATTTTCTCAAGTATTTATGCAATTATTTAAATATTTATTTATGCTTCCCTTTCTTATAGGACTCATTGTGGCTGCCACTGTTTTCCTGTTGGCCCAGCTGGCCGTTATAGCTATTTGGACCTACTTGTATCAAAGACGTCGGAAATTGCAACCCTACAGCAATGAGGGCATGAGCAATGCCTCCAGTTATGGATCACACAGTGCTGGTTCCAGTGCCTCAACTATTGTGGGTAATGTACCCAATGCGAGATCAGAGTCGTTGTGTAAACTATATGAAGGTGGCTTTGGATCAAGGCATGGACGTCAATTTTGAGGCAATTCGTAGATAAAAAGACAATTTTCAATTGACTCAAAAACAAGAGGTTAAAGTATTTCGAAACATGAGAAAAAATCGAGTTAATTTAATTGAAAAAATACAAGAAAAAAAAATGCTATAAAAAGATAATGCCATTTAAGAGAGAAAAAAGAACAAAGCAATTTAAAAAAATATATATTTTTTTTAGAAAAATTCAAAACGCAAGCGAACAAAAAAAATGAAAAAGAAAACATACTTAATGGTGCCGGATAAAGTAAAAACTCGAGGGCAATATTTATTTTTATAGACATCTATGAGTAATTGCTAGGAATAACTATATTTAACACGTATTATGGACCTAATAAAGGGAGTAGCATTGTTAGGGAAAATCCCAAGGGACACGGACAAACGGTTGTCATTCCCTTTTAATGCAACACCTTTTATTTGCAGAAAGAAAAATAATTAACTAAAATCAAATATTATTTATATGTAAGTTTTTAGTTTATAAACGCAAGAGAGCATATTTAGAAAATTGCTTTAAAAAGAAACTTTATAGAAGTATAAGAACAGATTTTGCGGAATTATTTAAAAGAGAAGACTTCGTAATGAGACAATAATAATAACAATAATAATTTTTTTTTTTTTTTGTGGAAAAAAGGACGACTGATTAAGAAAGGATAATTATAGTGAAGAAGAACAACAATAGTCTAGATAAAACGTAGTTAGGTTTTAAGTTTTCGTCCCTTGAAAATTTTAAAATTAAAATTAAACAAAAAGTCAAAAAATCGTATTTAAAAGTTTTAGCAATCTCATTGTTTTGGACCGGTTGCAATTTTTTCCTATTTTGAAAAAGAATCCGACTAGCTTCCATTTGCTTCCATTTGATTTTATTTTGCAATTTTTCACTTAAATATAGTAGGTTTGTAATTAATTTAAAATATTTAAAGACATCCATAACATTTGCAATATAATTATTAGTTTTGCTTATGATATAGTAAACCAATAATATTAAAAAAAAAAAATAATATTATATGATAATAGTATTCTTGCCTTATTAGCCACCAAACGTCCTTCGCTTGTCCTTTTTTCTAAGTTTTCATTGTGTACTTTATATGGAAAATTAAAAAAAAAATATTTTGGAATGAAATTCTTTATTAAAAACAAAAAATTGTATTTATATAAGTTCCCTTCTTAATTCTGTAATTTTCTTTTCATAGCATAATGAAATTTTAGTCTTATTAAGTAATAAAGAAATCCATCCGTATAATTATGAAAAAAAAAAGAACAGAAACAACCATAACTAGCGGAAACCATGTTTTATACTCTAATAATTTTTACTTATTTAATAAATATTATAATAAATATAAAAATAAGTTGTTTCATTTCTATGACATAAAACTAGCAAAGGCAGCGTGAGTTTTAGCCGGTAATTTTTACACCTTTGACAATGAGGAGGAAACTTGAAATAGGGTCACTTTGAAAGTCCCAAAAACTTATAAAAAATGCGGACTATTTAGTGGTATAGTCTTGGAAAAGTTGGAATTCACTGGAATTTTTTTTTTTTTTTTTTTTGATAGAGAGATTAAACCAATATCGAATTACAGCTAAATTAGATTTACAGCAAATGTTAACCAAATTGTTAAATCTGTTATTAGGACCTGCGATGGAAGCGCTGTTGCAACTTAAACAAGTAAGCAAAGGCTATAGTCGTGCGGGGCTGACTATGTTATGCCCTACAACACTACATATGTTAAAAGTCCCCTTATGTCCAAATCCATATTGGAAGATTTCTCTTCTGAAATAAGGATTTTGACTAGGGACATTTCTGTTTTTGGTTAATTTGAACCCCTAAATATATTGCGATCATCTCTAAAAGCAAGAAGCCCCTCTGTATCTCCAAACTTTAACTCATCTATATGATTTGCTTGTCTACGATATTTGGCTATGATCGTCAACGAAATCAGCATAAAAAGCCAGAAGTTCGCTTTTGTGTATTTCAGATATCGCCTGTAAATAATGTGGTATTTTTTCACACAAAATTAGTGGTAAATTGTACCCGCTGTCCTAAACTCTAACTTTATGCGAGATTTCGTGTCCTTTGGTTTCTATTTGTGACCTTTGTAACGGCTGCAAAATCAGGAACATTTTTAGTTGTTGGTCAATTTCAACTCCTAATATATTGCGGACATCTTTGAAAACAGTAGGCCTAGCCCTTCTGAGCCCAACCCTACTCTTGTGAAAAATTTTAGTGAGGATCGGACGATATTTGCAATACCTATATAAAATCCCCAACCCGTGTTGTAAGGTGAAAAAATATTATAAGTCAATTTGAAAAAATCGCATGCGATAAAAAATATGAAAAAATAAAAATATGTCACAAAATACTACAAAATCTATATTAACATCATTATTGGCATATTTTTCTGCGATTTTTATTTTTAGATTTTATACTTTTATGTCAAAAGGGCATTCTGAATCGACAAAATTTGTCAAAATCGGTCCAGCCATTCTTGAGATATAATCATTTTAACTAACATCCCCTTCTTTTATATTTACACATTGTATATATTTCGCTATATATAACCGATATATTTACTATCGACATCTACGTAACGGTCAGAATTGACCTGTTCGTCTATTTGTGATTTCGCCGAGATTAAAAATATTAGCGGTTTAATGGAAAATTTGACTTTTATTTAGCACAAATGTTGTGGCCTATTTCACCCACTAAATAATAACCGATGACCATCAAAATTGGAAGGCTTCTGCCAACCCTAAGCTCTAGCCCCATGCTAACGTATGTTTCTATTAGTCTATGATTGTGACCTGTAGAGCAACTGCAAAATCAGGAATTTTTTCAGTTTTTGGTCCATTTCAACCCCTAAATATTATGCGATCATCTCCAAAAGAAATAGGGTTCTATTCTGACCCTAGCCCCACCTCCATTCTAAATTTCGGGCCATAATTGTGACCTGTAGAGTGATTACAAATTAACATGGACAGACGGACGGACGGACGGACATATATAGCTAGATCGACTCAGTTCGGTGAGATAGGAAGATCCATATATACTTTCCCCAAATGTTGGACCTATATACGATGGCATTTCAGAAACTTCTTAACCTAGCACAAAAAACGCGGTATAAACAGAAAAAAGATAAGTGTTTAGGAAACTTTTACCTCTGTTATGAACAGATGTTAAATTTTGGTTCGATCTGGCAACTCCTTTATATAGAACAGGTGTTCGAAAAGGACGCATCGCCATATTTTTCTACATTGGAAAATTTTGAAATACGTGCTGTCATTAAATATTTAAATAACAAGTAAAAAAGTATCAGTAAGTTTAGCCGACAGATGTATACCCTCAGGCAATGTTTGATTATTTAAATATATTTTGACTTGTGTTATGATTATTCAAATTGTTGACCCTATATTGGGAAGGTTTCGAAGGAATGAATCAATATTGTCCATTTTATATCGGTCCTAAAAAAATATGATATAAATATTGCGACGTGTCAGGTTTCGACTCTATTGGTTACTTCCTTCAGTTTGTATGAAATATGTGATAATTTTCAGATGGTGTTAAATGTGCGTGAGGTATCAAATATAGTCGACTGAAGTTTTCCATTTTCATACTAATAAAAATATTAAGTCAATACTACAAAAATAGAACATTTATATTAAATTTTATGAGAAATCATAAAATCCATTTGCATCTCAAGTTTCGGGTTGAGGGACACATTTAGATATAGAAAGTTGTAAAGAATCGCTGACTTGTTTCGCAATTTATGACAGATCAAACTATTGAAAATTGTGATCCTTTGTGGGTAAGGTACCAAAAGGGATTCGCAGATATATATCATCTTCACAACAGATCTTGTATTAGTAAAAAATTTGTGTGTGTGATATTTGATGAGAGTTTGAGTTGAGTTTGAGAGTATTTCGCTTTCCTTGAGAGTTTTGTTTTTCAAAATCTTGAACCCTATGTGGGGCAGGTAGCAAAAGAAATGGTCCGATCTCTACTATCTTATCTTGATGGAAATATTGAGATGTACCAAGACTGGAATGGAATCGGTTGTTTGTGGGCAACAGACCTTGTGTAAGTAGAAATAACGGTATGTGTGAAATATAGATAACCCGATGCTTTTTCGCAGTTTATGACCTTCATGGATATTCAAAATGTTGAACCTTTGTTCGGGAGGTACCAGAAGGAATGGTCCGATCTCTACTGTTTTTATAACATGTCCTATATTTCGACCTTTTGTGTGGGAGGTACCAGAAGGAGTGGACCAATATATTCCGTCTTAATAAAAATATTGTGGTGTGTGAATTTTGAAGACAATCTGACTCTTGCATTACATGTTATAAGAGTTGTAATTATTCATAATTGTGACCCTTTTTTGGAGGAGGTGCTTGATGGAGTGGACCGATATTGTCCATTTTCGCACCTGACATAGAACTGACGCAAATATTAGGATTTGCAAAGTTGAAGCAAAATCGGATTATCGTTACTCTTTCTGTGCAGAAGGAGTGGACCGATATCGCCCATCTCCGAACTCGATCAAGTTTGACAAAAATATTACGATGTGCCAAGTTTGGACCAAATAGGACGTAGATAGATCGACTTCAAATGTCCTGAAACGGATTTGGTCCAAAGACACCTAGGGTCTAAAACCCTTATTTTGAATAGGCACGTTTTGAACGTATCAAATGATATATAACCTCTCTGGGTATAACTAGCCATATGGCGGAGGGTGTAAAAAAGGTTTGTCGGGACAAGAAATTCATAATATGGTGAATGTGCAATAGTAGAAAATTGGTTTGCTGAATTTAAACGTGGTCGTACAAGCATTGAAGATGGACCACGTAGTGGACGTCCAAAAACAACGACAGAAATTGTAGCCAAAGTGCATGATATGGTATAAAATAATCGGCAAGATGGGTGCCACGATTGTTAACAGTCCATCAAAAACGCATAAGAATGAACATTTCTCAAGCTTGTTTGGATCGCTTTCAGCGAAATAAAATGGATTATAGGCGACGTCTCATAACTGTTGATGAGACATAGATCCACCACTATACTCCAGAGACAAAAAAAGAACAATCCAAACATGGGACTGAAGCAGGAGGAAGTGCCCCAAAGAAGGCAAAAACAATTCCATCGGCTGGTAGGGTTATGGCAACGGTATTTTGGGACTTCAAAGGTATTTTTGTTGATTGAATATCAGCAAAAGAGTAAAACAAGAAATTCAGAGTACAATTACAATCTTTTGGATTAATTAAATGTACAATTTCGAAAAAAACGTCCTGGATTACAAAACAAAAAAAATAATTTTTCATGACGACAACGCATCAGCGCAAGATTGTTTTTATAATGGCTAAAATCAACGAATTAAAGTACGAGTTGCTTGATCACCCACCTTATTCTCCTGATTTAGCTCCCAGCGACTTTTACTTGTTCCCAAATCTAAAAAAATCCTTGCTGGCAAGCGTTTTACCTCAAATGAAAATTCAATTACAGTTGTAATCCACAATTTTGAAGACCTTGAGGAAAACTATTTTAATAAAGGGATATAATTAAAGTTTCAGGAGTTTATATTATTTATATTATTATTATATTATCTTTCATTGATAGGCTAAGAAGTTTCCGAGCCGCCCTCGTAAGCATCGAATTATCAAACATTCAAATAAATGAAGATAGGCTAATGTTTTATATATGTTGGCACACCGTCTAATATTTTCTAATCTTTCAATTTACCAAAATTTTGCAGTACTAAATTCTTCGTTATATGGAAAAGTTTTAATTCGTACCAGAATATCTAAAAGATAATCATAGTTTTGTATTTCCAGAACATTTCTGATTTAAAAATTATTGTTTTTTTTTTTTTTTGCTTATTCATAAATCCAAAAAAAACGACTCGAGTACATGAAAATGTTAGGTAACATAATCTCATATCAGGGTAAATGTTTCGTTTTACATTTTATTTTGAAGTACTTATTTCGTTTCGATACATAATAATGCATTTTTCAACCTAGTTTTTAGTAAATTATTATATTATTATATATTATATTAAAATTATATAATATTTCTAATATTAATTTAAAAAATTACTATTTATTGTTCGTAAACTCATCACTTACCCTTAATCTATTATCACCAACTGTCCACACTCGTGCTCCGTAATCATTTGATGTGCCTATAATGTAGGTGCCGGTGGAATCAAAATCGACGGAATTAATACCAGCACTGCTGCCACCCAGAACGGAACGTGGTTCCGATGAGCCTGAGAATTAAATATAGAATATGATTTAGTATTGAATTAATTATAAAAAATATGTGTTCACATTCAATAGCATTTCCGTAAACAGAGGAATTTGGAAGGTGCTATTTAAAACAATTTCGAAAAAATTTGTAATACTATTTTTTTTTTTTTTTTTTTTTTTTTTTGGTGAAAATAGTACGTATTAGAAATCTGTCCTTTTTTGTACCAAATTATACTATTTTGAAATCCAGCCTGTCAGCGAATAATTAATACGGTAATTCTAATTCAGTTAGTAGATCTAAAGCACAAACCGGTCAGTAAGTAGATCAAACCCACAAAAAGGTTTTTGATGTATAACCTTTGAGCAATACTTTGAAAATTTAAGGTAGATTTTTTCAAATTTGCTTAAGAGCTTTGGTTTTCTTTGTCTAGAAACATTGGTTTTATCGTTCCACTATTCGCTATAAACCTCATAGAAGGGCGAACCCCGATTTCAAATATGTTTATGTTTTAGTTATTACCTGAATATGTTTAAACTCTACTTGCATATGCACCACGTTTGGGTATAGATTATTTAAAAAATCATTAATTAAAAAAATCATGTCGATCTCTTCTTGGTACATAAGGGTAACGATTTTAAGCATTTTTTACGTTCTAACAATATTTTCCATTTAATTTCGTCAAATATTTGTATTTTGAATTCTTATTATGAGAAACTCTACTTGCAGATATATATACAGGGTGAGATGAAAAAACTGCAACATAAGACTGTCATTTCAAAGCCACTCGTCCGACAGCTGTTAAAATTATTCCAGTGATAGCTCAGTATATTGTTTACAAGCGTACAAAAGCATTTTGGTGAGAATTTTCCGAAAAAAAAAATTGTTCATGATGGAATTCAAGCATGGCTATCGTTATAGCACTTCAGCATTTAAATGTGAATACATATTCTGTGTCTCGTACCATCGCTCGTTACCGTGATACTGGTAGCGTAGCCCGACGTCAAGGAAGTGGACGGAAGAAAACAGCAACATCAGCAGAAATGGTTCGAAAAGAAAAGAAGATGCTACTTGATCAAAACCCGCGTCGCAGTGGCCGAAAAATGGCTCCATTCGGCAAATATTGAAAAATTAGCTCGGGGTAAAGCTATTGAAATTCCAAAGAGTGCAAGAGCTTACACCGCAACAGAAAGAAAATAGTCTCAAAAGAACTTCCCTTGGCCGAAAGTGGTGAACTACCGAATTTGGTTTTCTCCGATGAGAAAACATTCCTTGTCCATCAGTTTGTAAAAAAATCAAAGTGATCGTGTTTACTTGCTAAAGAGGTCAGCTGAAAATGTGCACCTTCGGTTGGCCACCCGAACCCAAGGTTCGGCCATTGTGATGTTGTGGGCCGTCATAACAGCCGATGGTCGTTCTCCGCTCGTATTAATCGACCGTGTCATCAGAATAAATGCCGAATATTATCGCGAAAATATTCTGTAGGGTGTATTAAAGCCTTGGCCACACAAACATTTTGGCCGCAGACCTTGGACATTCCAACAGGGCTCAGCACCATCGCACGCAGCACGCGCCAACCAAGAATGCGTTCAAAATAAGGTTCCTCGCTTCATTTCCAGCGCATAATGGCCACCACAATCTCCGAATACCAATCCGTTGGACTATTGCGTCTGGAGTATTTTGGAAAGCAAGGTTGGCACTAAAAAATACCAAAGTGTCGATCACCTTCGCCCGTAATGGGCCAAAATACTGCAGAGCAACATTCGGGCAGCGTGTGACGGTTTCATTGGCCGTTTGAAGGCCATAATTCGTGTCAAAGGTGACCAATTCGAACAAATCTAAACTTATTCAAAAATGTGATACTATTTCCTACATTTTTTGATTTTATTCAATAAAATTTAAAACAAAAAATGTAAAAATTATGGCGTTTGACTTTGTTGCAGGTTTTTTATCTTGCCATGTATATCTACTAACTCTAATTAGATCTAATATCAATTAAGTGAACCTACATAAGATATACCCACAAATGAATGGTCATAGGCCGAGGGCTAATTTGTTTACTTTATCTGTAGAACTTACCTTTCCCCACGTCCCACAGCTTGACTTTACGATCGGCCCCACCGGTTGCAATGACACGTTCAATCGGACTCCAACGTACCGCATGCGATTCAGTTTCGTGGGCCTCAAACTTCATATAGATATTGGTAGGATTCGCACTCTTCATATAGCTACCCATGCCGCCAGTATGGAAGGGATCTTGCGGTGAACCATACATCTCAGCATCACAGCCGGTCTCAATGTTATGATCACCACTAAGCGTGTCACGATCACTATCGTCGTATGCGTCTCCACCCGCACCGCCGTGTATTGAGGAGCCCGATGAGTTACGATGATGGGTAAATGATGAATTGGGTTCACGGACAGCGTCTTCGAGTTCACGTTTCAGTTTATCGGAACGTTTTCTGAAAATTGACGGCAGTCTTTTTCTAGATATCGTAAAATTACAGATGGAATTTGTGTGTATGTTTTGTAATTTTGGAATTTTGAGTGTTTGCATTTTTTTTGTTTGGCCAAATAGGGATATATTCGAAAAGTTTGAATTGTTCATTTTTTTTTTTTTTTGCAACATTTTATATTGAGTATTGTTGGTTGTATTTGAAGTTTGGTATTTTATTTAATTATTTATTCATTTTGGGATTATCATCAACATTTACACACATACACACACGCACACAAACACACATAAGAAAAAAATATGAAAAAAGAGGAGAGAAAAGAAAGAAAAATAGTGTTGGTTTCTGTTGGTTTTCCATTTCTTGATTAAAAAAATAAATAAATAACATTACTGCTTGGACCCATAAACGAAGGTCCCGTTTTAGTTTTAAAAATTTCAAGGATTTTTTTCTAAATTCGAACAAATTTAAGCGTTTTGGTGGTAAATTGGTGGATTATTTTGAGGGTAAATGATTTTTCAATTTCAAAACGGGGATTTATCGATTGTTATGTTTTTATTGAGTTGTCATTCGATGCATAACATATTTTGTAAAAAACGAAGGTGATGGAAAAATGCAATTTGTGAATTAGTAATAACCAAAAAAAACATGATGTGAAAATTCGAAAATGATTCAATGTCGATAAAAACAGCTTTATTTCCAAGCTTTAAACCGAACTGACATGTATGTGGAAATGGATTTTCATGCATTTCCTTATTTTTTATGAAAACGACAAAACCGGTGATAATGAATGGTGGTAAAATGAGAATTTTCAATATTATTTTTAATCATGTGATCACATTTAACCTGTTTCCTTTAATAATGAAATTATTTAATGGTATATATTTGAAAGATTTTATTTTATTGTACCGCCTTTTATGTGATTCCACACAGCACAAGAAACTCTGGTCAGAGAATAAGAAACTCCGGTCAGAAATTTGAAAATATAATGTGCTGTGAGAGATCATGTATATATAATTATGGACCGTTTATAACAATGTTATGAAGGTTGTCGAAAAACAGGAAATAATAAAACAGTCTAAAACAGGAAATAACCTATTGCTGCGGTATTGGACTTTAACCTCAAACATAGAAACTGGGCTGTTATACGAAACAGTGATCGTCCGTGTTTGATTTGTCCTGATCGGATGCATTTAAAAAGATGTCTAAGCGCTCCTATCTGATGAAGATTTCTGTTCAACACACTATTACGGGGAACGTCCGGCAATAGCGTGAAGGAGTCCAGATATCACCACCAATACCTATAACATAAAATTATTCAAAATGATTAACAGCGGGAGCCATGTTAGTAGGAAGGTGGATTGGCAAACTGGTTGAGAATATTTGTTTGAGCAGACTGCAGCAAATTGCACATTGCATTGAACAAGTAAAAATGCTTTAAGTTCGGCCGGCCGAAATTTAAATACCCATTTAGAACGAATTTGGAAATTTTCAAAAAATAAAATAAAAAAAAATTAAAAATACAGGGTGTAGCCGTTACATTAGGGTCTATACGACGTGGACCTGGCATAGGCAAATTTTGTCATAAGCCATTAAAATATTCAAATGCGAAATTTGAAAAAAATCGGTGAATAATGTAGCTAAAATATAAAAATACCGAATATAGAGAGGTACTATTACAAGGTCTATACCAAAACGCAGACCTGCGCAGGCAATTGTTTGAGTAGGCTGTAGTATCCATTACGAACTCCAAATACAAAATTTGAAACAATTCCGGTGAACAATGTCGCTAAAATCATCAAAATACTGAATACAGATAGGTACTATTATATGTGGGATATACCAATACGTGGACCTGAACTGACAATTTTCTGTAATAGACTGTAGTATCCACGATGAACTTCAAATGCAAAACTTGAAACAATTCCAGTGACTAATGTAGCAAAAAACCATCAAAATACCGAATATCGGGAGGTACCGTTATATGGGGGCTATACGAAGGCATGGACCCGCACAGACAATTTTCTGTCTTAGGCTGTAGTATCCATTACGAACTTCAAATACCAAATGTGAAACAATTCCGATGAATAATGTCGCTAAAATCATGAAAATACCGAATATCCGGAGGTACCGTTATATGGGGGCTATACGAAAACGTGAACCGACATGGCCCATTTACAAACTTAACTATGCATTTATTCAAAATTTTAGCCTTCTTTCTCAATTAGTTCGAAAGATAGCCTGATTCCAACAGACAGACGGACATCAATAGATCGTCTTAGAATATTACGCTGATTCAGAATATATATATATTTTGTAGGGTCTTTTATGAATATTTCGAGGAGTTACAAACAGAATGACAAAGCTAATATACCCTCCATGTAGGGTATAAAAAGTGAAAAAGGGATTTGACAACGAGGTATAAAGTCAGATTAGCAAACAGTATGAGATAGTATCGACATTTATTAAAAAAGGTGGGCAGTGCTGATGTATATCTCAAGTCGGTACGCATGTCCTCTGAGGAACTATATTGATCCCCAAGATACAGATTGTGAATCTGCTTTCTATGCTCACCTATACACCATTGTCGAAGTTGGAAATACGCTACGACCGAAGCCAATATTCTGTGAGAGCAACCACAAAAATTGAGGATTTGGAGAAAATATAGGGACATATTGCCAAACTCCAAAAGAGAGGGTTTCGGCGAATTTGACGCTTCAAAAAAAAAAAAAAAAATATTAAATAATTAAAAAAACTCAAAGGAAGGAAACAGGCAAATAGAAAGGCGGATGGACATTAAGGATAAGTATTCGTCGAAAGTTAATTTGACTAGCGGGGATTTTTATATCTCCAAAATGAGATGGACTTCCTCATAGGTAGGTACCTTCTTCACTCTGCAAGATATGAGGATACATATTCTTACAGTTCTCTCTGAGGAAGCACATCGTAATCGGAGGGGAAAAAGTCTGTTCCTTATATGAAAACGTAAGATAGAAGATGAGTTTCAAAATAACGGCACTGATATATATCCTGTCACCAGTTTACTGGTTCACCTGCTACCAATGATCAACAAGTAAAAAAACGAACTTTTAATACCTTCCACCATTTGAATAGAACTTGAAAATTAAACAAAATCCGTCGAAAAATACCGTTTAATTAAATACTGTTATACACAAACGAGGAACTGCATAAGTAATTTTTTTCATAAACTGTAGACTATCTTATCCAGTGAATACAAAATTTGAAACAATTCCGATATAATATCATTAAGATCATCAAAATACCGAATACTTAGAGGTACCGTTACATGGGGTCTGTACGAAAACATGGATCGACATGGCCAATTTACTTAAACTTCCTACTATAAAAATGCAAATGTGAGCAAAATGTTAGCCCTCTATTTCAATTCGTTCCAAAGATTAGGCTGGTCCAGAATATTTATACTTTGTAGAGCCTATATTAGTATTTCGAGCAATTACAAACGGAATTATAAAGCTAATATACCCTCCATAGAATGGTGGAGGGTAACAAATTAACAGTGGCTTACGAATATCAAGAGTAAAGTTCACTGGATAAGATAGTCACTGTCAAGGTTAAGATTTGTTCTGATACCAAAATGAAGATGGGTGAGTATCATTGGCGAGGATAATATTAGCAAAATGAAATTAGGATATTCTATTCCCTGGTAAAAACCTGATATGAATTATAAGATAAAACATTGCAACAACTACGAATGCAGTCGTGGTAGTTAACATAGTATCTTGCCCTGTCCTCCTTTGGAAAATCCTGCCCGCATAATGTTCATGTCCAGGAATCCTAAACCAACATTGCAATGCGAGGACATAACTAATTTAAAGTAACTAATTTAAATCAGTACAAATTACGATGCTATTGTAAATTACTTATGCAAGTAAACGAAGCTTCTAAGGTTAGAAAGGTAATTTTAAAGACTAAAGATTTATTTGCAATATACTTTCATTTTAATTCCATGGTAACCCTAAGAATATTATTTTAACATTTAAAAAAACCTGACATTTATAAGAGTTCAAATTTAATTTGTGGCATGACACTGGTTCAACACACATGTAATTACTTTTTAAACATCCAACCTGAGGCACGCAATGATTATACCCACAATAATGCTCCTAGTTGTAACTGTCTTAGTACAAAAAAGTGGGTCTTTGCTCTGATATTTAAAAAAATGACATTTGCAGCCATTACAGAATCCTAAATATGCATTTGTGGTAAGAATTTTATACTGCAAAATGAAACCTCCTCCTCAACACCAAGTTTGCACCAAATCACTTGAATTTGAAGAAGACAAAGACACCACTTAGACCATACCAAAGTTTTAAAGAATTTTGAATAAAATTTACACATAGAAACAAACAAGAACCACACTCTTTTTCAAAAACTAAAAAAAAATATGTAATCATAATTAGGATCTACAACAATAATAATTATTTACCAAGGCTACAAAATAAAAGTTGTACAACATTGTGTTTGATTAAATTTGATATATACTGCTGATTATTAAATTCGATAAGGAAGAGCAAAAGCATAAATAAAATTGCGAAGTATATAAGGCGTAGAAGCCTAAATACATCTTAAGAACAATAAGCTATAATTCTGACCCTAACCCTACCACCATTCAAAATTTCGTGAGGACCGGACGATAATTGCGACATGTACAGGGCGAGATAAAAAATGCAACAAAGTCAAACGCCATAATTTTTACATTTATTTAAATTTTATTGAATGAAAACAAAAAATGTCGGAGATAGCATCAAATTTTAGAATACGTTTAGAATTCCTCGAATTGGTCACTTTTGGCACAAATTATGGCTTCTAACAGCCAATGAAACCGTCACATGCTGCCCGAATGTTGCTCTGCGGTATTTTGGCTCATTCCCGGCGAAGCGCTTGCTTGAGGTGATCGGCACTTTGGTATTTTTTAGTGCCAACCTTGCTTTTCAAAATACTCCAGACGCAATAGTCCATCGGATTGGTATCCGGAGATTTGTTGGCCATTGTGCACTGAAAATGAAGCGAGGAACCCCATTTTGTAACCATTCTTAGGTGCCGCGTACTGAGTGCGATGGTGCTGAGTTGGAATGTCCAAGGTCTGCGGCCAAAATGTTTGTGTGCCCAAGGCTTTAATACAACCTCCAGAATATTTTCGCGATAATACTCAGCCTTTATTCTGATGCCACGGTCGATTAATACGAGCGGAAAGCGACCATCGGCTGTTATAGTGGCCCACAACATAACCATGGCCGGCGCTTGAGTTCTAGTGGCCAACCGAAGGTGCACATTTTCAGATTGGCAAATAAACATGATCACTTTGATTTTTTTGTTTTTACAAACTGCTGAACAACGAATGTTTTCTCAACGGAGAAAACCAAATTCGGTAGTTCATCACTTTCGGCCAAGGGAAGCAACTCTTTAGTTCTTTTAAGTCTGTTTTCTTTCTGTTGCGGTGTTAGTTCTTCCACTTTTTGGAATATCAATGGCTTTACACCGAGCTAATTTTTCAATATTTGCCGAATTGAATATTGCGATATGTTCAGCTCACGAGCCATTTTTCGGCCACTGCGACTTTTCGATTATGATTATGTTGCTGTTTTCTTCCGTCCACTTCCTTGACGTCGGGCTACGCTATTAGTATCACTGTAACGAGCAATGGTTCTAGACGAAACAGATTTAATCACACTTAAATGCTGGAGTGCTCTAACGATAGCCACTTGTGGTTTTCCGGTCAAATACAAAGAAATCACACTATCACGCTTGAATTCCATCACGAATAACTTTTTCTCAGGAAAATTCTCACCAAAATGCTTTGTACGCTTGTAAACAATATAATGAGCTGTCACTGGAATAATTTTAACAGCTGTCGGGCGAGTGGCTTAGAAATAACAGCAGTCTGAAGTTGGTTGCAGTTTTTTTATCTCACCCTGTACATATTTCGCTATATATATCTCTCATATACGTAACGATCAAATTGACTTTTTCATCTATTTGTGATTTCGTCGGGATTAAAAATATTCGCGTTTTAATGGAATATTTGGCTTTTATTTAACAGAAATATTATGGCCGATTCCACCCACTAAATATTACCTGATGACGGCTTCTGCCCATCCCTAGGCTCTAGCCACATGATAACTTCCACTTCAATTGGTCTACAATTGCAACCTCTAGAGCAACTGCAAAATAAGATAATTTTTCAGTTTTTTGGTCCATTTCAACCCCTAAATATTTTGTAATCACCTCCAAAAACAATAGGGCTCTATTCTGACCCTAACCCCACCTCCATTTTTAATTCCGTAAGGAACCGGCCAAAATCGCGACCGGTAGCGTGATTACAAATTAACATGGACAGACGGGCGGACGGACATACATAGCTAGATCGACTCTGCTCGGCGAGATAGGAAGATCCATATATGGGTTCATATGTGGGGGCCAATATTTCTAGGTGTCACATAATTTCTTGCTTAATCAAACTTATAATACCCCCACACATAGTGTTGTAGGGTATAAAATAATGTTATACATTTTTTCCAATTGCCAGTCATTTTCTTTATAAAGGGTTTTCATGGAAACAGAATTAAGCACGAATTAAGGGATATTCTCTGACAAATGTCGGAAACAATATCCACCAGCATTTATGGTAAAATTAAATACACCAGTGTAGTATCCAACACGAGGCCAGTCGAATTCAAAATTTTGAATACCCGACTTTTTCTAAGGATGGGAAAACCAATTGGGAAGTATCCCCAGAATTCTGATGTCGAGTAGTAACTAAGAATTTGCGGGATATCGCTATCAACACTGAAGCACTTGCTATATATTAGCTGGAAATAAGACAATTCCCAAGAGACGATTTTGACGTATGAACTCTAAAGATTCCAATAATTAAAATCTAAATCTTGAGCTAATTCTCTTCCTTATACTGAATAAATTCTATAATCAGCTGCTACAAATAAAACAAAATTTATGTGCACAACTTTTTAACTACCACAAAATACAAACAGAAAAATCTAAGAAAATTAATCAATTTACACAAAAATAAAATATGTTTTACCAAATGAGCGGCGTAATGAATGAAATTAAAATGATAAAAGGATTGGGGAAGCCAATTACATAAAAAACAAAATGTTTAATGCAACCATTAACCAAAGAAATTTGCAAATTTTTACAAAATCATAAAAATAAAAGCCAATAGAATAAACTACAAAAATAAAAAACAATTAAACATTTAACACAATGAATTTGAAAAGCAAAAAAATGGACAATATTTTCTACTTACCTTATAAAGCTTTCGTTTTCTTCATTCAGCTTGTCGGCATCTTTTGCTTTGTAGTGCATCAAACGATCCAGTAAACGCCGATTTTCATCCTGATTTAAGTTATCCATCGATGTTGTGGTTGTTGTTGTTGTCGTCAATGATATGGAAGAAGTAAAAGAAGATGAGACAAATTTTTTAATAGTTTTAAACATTTTAAGAGAAAATTCGTTTTTTGGTCGGAAGAAGTGTTGCTTTCGTTGGCAAAATGATATGTAAAATGAAAATATTATCCAATTCGATTTTCCTTGTAGCCGGCAAATTTCCCAACCACGCGAGCTAACATAAAAACAAACAGTAAATACATCCATTTTCTTTCCACTGCACCATGTCTTTGTAGTCATGGATTATTCGTAATGGCTTTTTTTCATTGCAGTCTGCGGCTGTTGGATCTGTGGCAATTTGTCATTTCATTGTCAAATATTTGTAATTCAATTAAAAAAATGTATTAACGTATTTTTTAGAACAGTGGGTAAATAATTTGTCAAGGGGTCATGTTTCTTCGTTTTTCCGTGTTCAGGGTCATAACAGGAAGGAAAGTCAATTTTGTAAATGATGATGGAGGGATAGACCTTAACACATAAATATCATCACACGTGAATTTTCAGTGCAGGTTCACTGCTCCAAGAAAGTCCAAGTAGAGATTTTTAAAATATTGCCCAATTTTCAATATAAATCCTTATTAATTGTGTACAACTGACAAGAGATTACGAACTGTCAATGGACCATTTTCGAAAAAAAAAATAATAATAATGAGAACTAATTTATCGTTCTGAACAGAAAATTCTACATGGGTAATCTTTACCAATTGGTGGTATTTTATACACATTTTCCTTAGAGCTAAAAGTTTATAAAGGATTAAACCTGGATGCGAATATGGCATGGAAATGTATTATGGAATGTTTTACTGATAAGTTAGGAGTTTTATATTTCACACATGTCGTATAATTTTTGGCGACTGAAATAGATCTAAAGCAGTCAACCCCCTTCCCCACTAGGGGTTAACATTGTGAATAAATACAAGTCTTCTAAAATACCAAATAATTATTCGACGATCCTATTAACTGGATAAAATATGAAATCTTAGGTCTATTCTTTCTGGTACCTCCTCCATAAGAGTCAAAATTTTGAATAATCATAATGCTCGTAACGTACGAAACCAATTAGCGATTTTCTCCAAACCAAGTGTATCTCAATATTTTTTAAACCAAAGATCGCATGTAAATGTGGTATATATCGGCCCACTCTTTCTGGTACATCCACTCTAAAAATTTAACATTTTCCAACAAATGTATGCCTTACAGGGTACGATAAAACAAAAACTGCAACTGTGCCTTTTATTCTGAAATAAAAAATTCCAAACGCTTTTGCGTTCAATGCACACTGCCACAATCGTTAAGGAATGAATTACCGATTTCTGAGCCCATAAGAAATTCTTTTAATCATTTGTCATAGAAATATGTATGGCATAATGTGACCACATTAAATTCTTTCATTCCAAATTTCACGGCTACTCTCAAAATAGTTTGTATACGATTGGCACTTATCCAAAACATGACAACAAAAGTTACTTAAAAGTTCAGTATGACCTGTTTATACCAAATATTTACCCAACTATATTTAAAAACATTTAGTTATGAAATATTAACCCCGAAAACAATAATTGCAAATCATTGTTGTTGTGATGACGAGATGAGTAGCAGCCATGCCAAATGATGGAGGAGCCATCATAATAAATGTGTGTCAAAAGAAAACAGTAAAAAAATTAAGAAAAATAAATTCAATCAAGTATGTAAAATGAGGCGCTACGTTATATTTATAGAATAGATAGCCGACAGCGAACGAAAATATTTACAACATAATTGTGCGATACATTTTCCATTGCAACAAATTATTGACTCATCTCGAGAAGAAAAAAAACAACAGAAAAATGTGGGGAACGTCCATTAAATGGGAATTAATCAGTGATGAGAAAACAATGAATATTTATTGGGTATTAATTGAATTTTGAATTTCAATTATGTGGAAATATTATAACAAAGAACCATTGCAAGATGATAGGAATTCAATGATTTTAGAAATAAGAAATTAAAAATTTAAAAATATTTGAAACAATATATAAATGTAAGGAAAAATAATTCATCGACAAAAAAAACAATAAACCATGAAAATTTTTTGGGATGTTGTCACTCCAAGTGTTTAACGTCCCTTGACATGTGAGCACTGAACTTGTTGTGTGATAAGCTACTGTAATTAGAAGAATGGAGACATTAACTAGTTGATAAGAAATACTAACGCTAAAATTAGGCAGCTTTTGACACATTATCTTTGGATAACATTGTTGTCGGTGGGAAAGGCAAGCGTGTGCTTCAAGCGTTTGATATCGCCAAATGGTTTCATTTCACACACTTCATGCTTTCAAAACGAATAATTATCTGCTAAAAAAAAACATAATGTTTTGTAGATAGGCGACATTAGTGAAATATTTACGAAACAATGTTTGCTAATAATGCAATATAAAATTAAACAGATATTGATTGTAGACACAATTTTTGAAAGCATGGAACAAATCATTATTATCCACAAATTGTGAAAATCCAAAAGAGAAAATACTTCGACCTTAGAAAGGATTCGATAAAAATGTAACTATGCCGCATAATCGGCTGGAAGATTCTACAAAACTGAAACCCTGAAAGATTTTCCGACAATGTTTGCAAAGTCTCCGAGTAGCAAAATTTGTTTTTAAGTACTTTGCAAGGAGAATTTGAACGCACTAAAGACTTATGACTTTCACAGGGGCACTATTCAAAAACATAGACTATTTTTAAATTTTCCACAAGGTTCTCCATTCTGTCATTAATCTTTACAGATCATTGTTTTCTTAGTACAAAGGCAAAGCGAGGAAGCACCTTATCCTACATATAAGTTTGGCCAATTTAAACTTCTGAATAACTTCATCAAAGAATATTAAAAGCTGCGTTTTTAAAAATGAATACTAATCGGTTTTAGAATTTTTAACAAACCGACTTCATATCATGCTTCCGAAAGAAATATTTAAATCTGTTGATCGACTAGCCGCAAAAATTCCTTAATGCCTATTCCAAAAAAAAATACTAAAAATTTATTTTGTTATCAATTTTAGCGATAGAGCGTTAATTTTATCTTTGTCGTATATCGAAAACGTGAGCAAATAGTCTATTGACGCTTGTCATCACATGCTTTTTTCAACATAAAAGAGAAAAAAAAAATAATCTTATATTCGGTGCTTACCACAAATTTGTAAAACTATTGTTTGCACGGCAAATATTCAGCAGACAACAATTTAAAATAACTTCTTCGCGAATTATTTAAACAAATATTTTAAAAGAGAATTTAAAGGTTCTTTTAACTACATAGCAATTTGACATTTAAAAAACTGAAAAACATTTTCAAAATACAAATTTATAATTTTATAAAGTAATGAAAATATGAGTGCCGAAATTCAAAGTTTAATATGAGGCATCTTTAATAACCTGTATCGTATTTTTTTCATTTAAGGGCCATATTTTAAATGGTTTAATTTCTGCAAACATTTTGGATTATTGCTGTCAACAGTGTTTAATTTTGGAAGAAAATAATATTGTGATGCATCTATGTTGTATTCAATTTTGTGGAAACCCCTCAATATTGCATTCATATGTGTGGGTTTTCCCCAAAATAGTAATTATGTGAAAAGAATGTAAAATAAACAAAACCAACTGTTGCATGTTCAAAAGTCTATTTGAAACAATAAAACTCCGACAACCTTTCTGATTGAGCCATGGTTTAAATTAAAGTTCTATTTACTGAGACCACATTCATACCTCTTGGTATATAACAAAAGACATTTATGGCCAGAAACTTTGACTCCAAAGATATACATTTTCGGGTTTAATACACACGTCGAGTATGGCATAAATCTTGCAAAATAATAAAGCACAGGATGAGATGAAAAAACTGCAACCAACTTCAGACTGCTGTCATTTCTAAGCCACACGCCCGACAGCTGTTAATATTATTCCAGTAACAGCTCATTACATTGTTTACAAGCGTACAAAAGAATTTTGGTGAGAATTTTCCAGAAAAAAAATTATTCGAGCTAAAAAAGTTATGTGAGCTGAACATATAGAAATATTCCATCGGCAAATATTGAAAAATGAGCTCGGGGTAAAGCCTTTGAAATTCCAAAAAGAGCAAGAACTTACACCGCAACAGAAAGAAAATAGACTCAAAACAGCTAAAGAGTGGCTTCGCTTGGCCGAAAGTGGTGAACTGACAAATTTGGTTTTCTCCGATGAGAAAAAAACATTCGTTATCCATAAGTTTTTAAACAAACAAAATGATCGTGTTTACTTGCCAAAGAGCTCAGCTGAAAATGTGCACCTTCGGTTGGCCAGCAGAACTCAAGCGCCGGCCATGATGATGGTGTGGGCCGCAATATCAGCCCATCGTCGCTCTCCGCTAGTATTAATTGACCGTGGCATCAGAATAAATACCGAATATTATCGTGAAAATATTCTGGAGGGTGTATTAAGGCCTTGGGCACGCAAACATTTTGGCCGCAGACCTTGGACATTCCAACAGGACTCAGCACCATCGCAGTCAGCACGCGCCACCCAAGAGGGGTTCATTTCCAGCGCACAATGGCCACAAAAATCTACAGATAACAATCCGTTGGACTATTGTGGAGTAAGCAAGCGCTTCGCCGGGAATGGGCCAAAATACCGCAGAGCGTATGACGGTTTCACTGGCCGTTTGAAAGCCATAATTCGTGCCAAATGTGACCAATTCGAACATTTCCGACATCTTTTGCTTTCATCCAATAAAATGTAAAAATTATGGCATTTGACTTTGTTGCAGTTTTCTATCTCACCCTGTATGAGGTAGAAATAAGTTAAAAACAGTCAAGACGTATTTCTAAGAATCCACGTTTTGTGTCAAAACTTAAGTAACCAAAATTTCAAAGGGAACTTGAAATAATTAAGGCCGGTAGTTTATGTACTTTGAGTATGCTTTAAAGACAGCAGCAAATATAGGAGATACATCCCCTAGGAAGTGGCGTGTAAAGCTGCCTATTAGTCAGTGAAAAGAATAACAGAACGAAAGCACTTTAGGGTATTTGGTTCAGTATCAACATCATTGTATATTCACCGGTGTAGAGCATATCCATGATCCGGGTTAATTATTAAGGAAATCATAATTTCACTGAATTTATGAATTTTCACCCATATTATATTTTCAAAATAATGCGACTTTAAACGTTTTTAAGTCTCATTATCGTTTCAGAATTTGCTGGAATAAAAGCTCATGGTCGAGTAGGATTCGGGTCTTTACTGTTCTTTGGTAGCTTTAAGGCCAGGTACCAAGAATTATGCGGTAAAACATTCACTCATTTCATTGCAATATTACAATGAATGCATTTATTGATGAGTCACAATAATCATAAATACTGATAACCTTTCAACACCGATTTCATTGGCTCAAACCAAAATCAATATTACTCTTCCTGATAACTGAAGCCAATGCTCAATGTCGCTTGCAAAGTATTTGTCATTATTTATTTTAACCGACTTGAACGTCAATATAAATGCACTACTCACTCACCTGAACATTTCTCAGCTTATCTTCGAGTGCACTAAAAGCCAACTGTAAGGCGGTATATTCATCACGCAATGTTGTATTGAGGTTTTTCAATTCCTCTAGACTTGATTTTAACATTTGCACTTCAGCCTTTAAGGAAGCGTTGGTATTTTTCTGTTCTGCAAGACTGCATGGACGGCATCATGGAAGAAAGTGAAAACAGAAGAAATTACAAAATTCAATTAAGCCATGTCACATTGCACATTTTACCTTTGTTCCTTGCTGGCAATGATTTGCTGTTGTTTTTCCATTTTTAGATTTAAGTCGACTATTAGTTGGGAATTCTCGCCTTTACGCTTGTGGAGGGCAGTTAATTCTTCCTGCTGGGCCAGCAGTTTCTTTTCCAAGGCGGCAATGGCCAATTGGGCGGCTGTACTGTCTTTTCCGCCACCACCACCTGTTGAGATGGCCGTTCGTAATTGTTCATTTTCTACGGATATTTTTAGATTGTCCGCCTTGAGTTGGGCAACACTGTCCAGCAAGCGATTATCTGGGGGACGAAAGGAAACATTAAGTAACAATATTCCATGTCAACAACAGAAACGGCGACATCAACATCGGCGGTATCCATCCATCCATCCCCAGCATCAACAAATAAACAAAACAAAAATAACGCACGCATGCACATACAAACACACACACCTACAGTAAGGTTTATAAACACAAACTATAGACGACCTTGACCCTCTTCTCTTCCTCGCTTTACAAATGTCTTATATTGGATGCGTTGTTGTGCAGCTTCTGATGCTGTGCCTAGCCATTTTGTTGTTGTCGTCGTCATTTCTGTTGTAATTGGACAACACTTACTTTGCTGTATGATTTCTTTGAAGGGTAACACATCGCGCCTATTACGTTCCCGCAAACGATTGATTATGGTCTGGCGATATTCTTGATCTTCTTGAGCCATTGTTGTGTCGTTTCTAATTAAAGTTATCCAAAGTTCAATGCTTCTCTCTACGATCAATCCTTAACACTGACCACCAAAAAAATCCCCTTTCCGTAGAGGTTGCAATCTTCCGTTTTATTTTTCTTTTCTATTATATCTCTGCGTTTCTAAGTTTGCCGTTGCTTTGTTTCTTCGTCACTACCGTTGTCGTCGTCGTCGCGTCGCACTTGCACCAATCTTCTCCGCGTATTACACTGTCCCGGGACATTTATGCGTTCTTTCACATCCAAATGTGATAATCGCTTTCTCCAAATTTTGAGATAAAAAAGTTGTTATTTATGACTCCAATTTGTGTGCCCAATTGGTAATTTGTCAAATTGGGGTTTTGTTTTGTTTTCGTTCGTTTTGACAGCGATTACAATGACCACCGATGGTCGATAAACAGCTGTTGTGTGAATTGCACCATCGAGAGTGCTGCAATTAGTGGCGGACGTACTCACTATGTTACGATAAATACGTGTTGCTACGGGGAAATTGATGTACAATCATGGTACTATGAAGAATTGCACCATACGTACAATATCAAATCGTCAAGTTACCTGGAAAAAGAAAATTTTATTGGAGAAAGGTGTTTTTAATAATTCGAATATGATGTTTTCCTCGGCTTTCCTTCTAAAATCTTATTTCTTTCCTGGAAAATATGTCTGAATTGGGACAATCTGGAACAGGAGAAAATAAATGATAGACAAAAGGAATTTTTAAGAAAATTTGCAAGGATATTGTGTCATTTTAAAGTGTAGGTTAATGTGACTACACGTAGGTAGCTTAACATCATCGCATGTCACATAATAAGAACAACGTTGGGGGAATCCTAGTGACAAAATAATGAACAAAGGTATTCCGACCAAGATATATATAAACGTTGTTTTTATAAAAATAAAAGCAATACGATTAAGCTTCACACAATAAAAAGGTAAGGTATAGCTACCAGCTTATTACAATTATTTTTAAAGCTTGAAATTTGACAAGGTAAATTACAGAAATGCGAAGATGGGAATGCTTATTTGAAATAAATGTACCTTTTTAATTTTACCGTGCTACCATGGTAGAATTAAGACGGTAAAGTCATGAAATCATATGTTCACACTTTTTTCTAAAATATTCATTTGACAACATCTCATTGTCAAAATGTATACATGTAAATCCATTATACATACGCAAAGCAGGAGTTGGAACCTGTTTTCTATGCAGTGCAATTTGACAAGGTAAATTATAGAAAATGCAGAGTTGGGTGTGCTTATTTGGAATAACTTTACATTCTTAATTTTACCATGCATGCTACCTTCTTATATTTAGTATTTTGAAAATTTAAGCGCCATTGTCAAACGGAATGGTTCAAAATTCGGTATTCCCAGTTCGCAATGGATTTTATTTCCTGTAACATATTTATCTATACCACGCAACGTCAAGACTCAAGACAGAACAGTTTGTATTGAAAATGAGATATATCGGCTTACGTTTTGTTGTAGCCGCCATATAACGGTATGGCACCCGTATAACAGTACCTAACGATATTTGGTATTTTGATGGTTTTACCCATTTTAAAATCAAGGAGGTAAAGTCATTTCAAATAAGCATTCCCATCTCTGTATTTTATGTAATTAATCCTATCTAATTTCACTGCATATAAAACAGGCTCCCATCTCTGATTTAAGAATATACAATGGATTTTTAAATATAAAATTTGACAATGAGATGTTGTCAAATGAATAATTAAAAAAAGTATACATGACTTTACCTTCTTAATTCTACCATGGTATTACCCATGGCATAATCACAGAAGGTAGAACAAAGCTATATGCTAAATATTTTTTTCTTTTAGTGCTCTATTCTGTCAAAACATATTCACAGTTTGTATGCGTGTGTGTTTTGTTTTGAATGAAAAATAAAATAATTTGAAATTATTTTAAACTTAAGTGCAACAGAAATGCATATTTATTGACGTAACTAGGCAACAAATTGTAAATTTAAGGATAAAACTGTATTGTCCCACTATCTTAAATTAAGTTTTTTGAAATAAATTCAACATTCCACTCATGGTACAATGAATTCAAGGTAGGGCAGAACTACCATATGATTTCAATTTTTTTTATTTTTCTGGCTTAATATGTCAACTTTATTTGTTTATGTGTGTGTATTCTTTTCAATAATAAATAAATTGTTCAGAAAATATTCAAATTCGGGTGTTTTAGAAATGCTTATTGCGACGAATGCATCGACAAAATCTACAGTTTTTGTCGCGAAATAAACCATAACAGATATATAGAACATGATTTTGAAAACAAATTTTGACCTTTCATTCATTTTTCGCGGTTTGAAATTATTTATTCAAAATAAATGCAACAAGTTGTTCGATTTTTTATTGTTTTGATACTAATTCTGACATTACAAGCCAAACAGGTAGACCTCTATACTTGCAATTTTTTCAAAGTTGACCTACCTTCTCTTCATTGTACCATGATTCCACTCATATTTTGAGATTTTTTTTCTCCAAAATAAGAAATTTTTAAAGAATGTAAAATAAACAAAATCAATTGTTGCATATTTAAATGTCTATTTGATATCTTAAGACTCCGCTACAGAGTTGCATTTTCTTAGTTTCTTGATGTGGAGCAACATTTAGCTATGGTTGTACCCACATTTTCCAAGGCCTCCATAGAACCACTATATTTTTTTTAAACTCTTACCGATCTTACTAGAGTTGTAAGTTTAAAGTGGAACACGTTTGAATCCATATGAGGTATATAATGTCATTTGTAAAATAAATATTACCCAATATACTGAAATAAACCCTAAATAATAATCTATCTCAAAAAATAAACCACAACCCTGCGCCATGTCATCTCAAAATAAAATTAGATGCTTTACTATTTTGTAATTTGCTCGACTCAATCCTTCCTACGTATTTTTATTATTCAGAGCGCTTTGTTCTTGTTACGTTTCAGTAATTAATGTCTAAGTTTTTGATGTAAATTATACACTTGCGGCATCTATATGTCAGCATTGTATCGACATAAATTCTCAGCATACGCTTATTCATTCATAGATGTCGCTAATCGTCGGAGGTTCATGTCTATGGTTATGTATGCACTAATTTGCTTGAAGGTTTTCATGCGATATGTTGGATTATTTTAATAATAGTTTACTTCAATTTTTAAGCATAGAATACGAATGCTTTCTTAGTCACAGAATGATTGCATTGTATAGCGACATTTTTTGCTTATTTGTTTTGTTTCAATTTCCAATCGAATGAGATGACCTTGAGTTATGACAACACCTACAGTTAATATGAAATTGCAATTTTTTTCTGATGAACAAGGAAAACATTATTTAGATTTGCTTTTCGTAACGTCCGTACGTTTAGAACAAAAAAAATTGATATATGTGCAAATATAAATTTAGGTGTATTCATAATTGAAAAATATAATATTAGAGAAAAATATCATAGAAATTATAAGAAATAATCCAACGCACCATTAAATGAAAAACAAATAATTCCCACCTTACAGTAATGGGTATTGGCCCGTTCCCGGCGAAGCACTTGCTTAAGGTGATCTACACTTTGGTATTTTTAAGTGCCAACTTTGCTTTCCAAAATACTTCAGACACAATAGTCCAACGGATTGGTATCCGGAGATTTTGGTAGCCATTGTGCATTGGAAATAAAGCGAAGAACCTCATTTTGTAACCATTCTAGGGTGGCGCGTGCTGAGTCCTGTTGCAATACACCCTCCAACGATACTATTCCGATGCCACGGTAGATTAATACGAGCGGAGAGCGACCATCGGCTGTTATGGCGGCCCACACCATCACCATGGCCGGCGCTTGAGTTCTGGTGGCCAACCGAAGGTGCACATTTTCAGCTGACCTCTTTGGCAAATAAACACGATAATTTTGTTTCTTTACAAACTGCTGGACAACGAATGTTTTCTCATAGGAGAAAACCCTATTCGGCAGTTTATCACTTTCTTTCTGTTGCGGTGTAAGTTCTTGCACTTTTTAGAATTTCAATGGTTTTACCCCGAGCTCATTTTTCAATATTTGCCGAATGGAATATTACGATATGTTCAGCTCACGAGGCATTCCTTGACGTCGGGCTACTCTACCAGTATCAAATTAATAAGCGATGGCAATATGAAAACGTGGACCTAAATATCCAATGTTCTGCCACCGAAATTAGAACCCATTACGAACTACAAATGGGGTAAGTGCGCCTAAGTTTGGCAAGTCCCAGCAGTCGGCAGTTTTGAAATTTAAACTTAAATAACTAAGAATAGAATTGACCAAATAATGAAATAATTGCAAAAAAACGTCAACTGTGTTCTCTGCTCTCTTTCTGTAAAAAAACAGTGAGCTCCTATCATTTATTACGAGAGAATAACGGCTTTTGTCAGTGAGTGTCTTCCAACACGTGCGATAGTTGCTTGTTTGTAAGGAAAAAATTAGTGGTGGCGTCAACTCAATAATCGATTTAAGTAAATTAAATTTAATACTTTTGGAATCAGAAATATTTTATAATAGTCAGTAAAGATCATTTTATAACTTAAAACCAGTAAAGGAAGTCCTGAAGTCTGGCGGGATCGACTTTATGATACCCTACACCACTTTGCTAATTTAGTAGAGCTCCACATAACAATTAAAAGTTTTTAAGGGAGAATTCAATCATACACGCTATGATTATAATTATTATTTAAAGTTCAAAGGACTAAATATGCCGAAGCATTTGTGTCTTTTAAATTCGGACTTGTATTGCCCACTTGGTGCAAAATTAATTTGAAATTAGATAAAGACATATATGGGAGCTATATCCAAATCTGAACCGATCTCGATAAAATTTGGCAAAGATATTTCTGAGCTGTATTTGATATATTTCCTTGAATATCGTTGTTACGGAGTGCATATTACGGCTGTGGGTAACAAATACAACAAATCGGATGAACAGTATATATTGGAGCTATAGCTATATCTGAACCGATCTTCACCAAATTTGGCATACTAGTTTCTAGGCTCAATTCGGTCGCATGTGCCATTCCATCCCATTTGGGCAAATATTAGATGTTTGGAGCACAATCAAAGGTAAATCGGACGAAGTTATATATGGAGCTATATTCAAATCTGAAACGATCTCGATAAAAATTAGCTAATGTATTTCTGAGCTGTATTTGATATATTTCCCCCAATATTGTTCTTACAGAGTGCATATTATGGCTGCAGAGGACAAATATAACAAATCGGATGAACAATATATATGAGAGCTATAGCTATATCTGAACCGATTTCGATCAAATTTGGCATACTTATTTTCAGGTCCAATTTGATCGTACGTGCAAAATTCCATACTGTTCGGACTGATATTACACGTTTGGTG